CTTGGCCATGCGTGGCTGCAGTGATCGATGACCTGCAAGACCACTCACAGACAGACAGACAGACAGACAGACAGGCAGACAGACAGACAGGCAGGCAGGCAGGGATGGATGCATGTGTGCGTGCGTGATACCTGCTGCCTGTTCCCTCATGCGCACGGTGGACATCAACATGTGGTCTGCGTGGGAGAGATCGACACACAGGGAGTGTTTGATTGGTTGCTGTGTTTCCCGTGCTTTCCTTCCCTGACCATTTCCGTGGATTTCCTGTCATTTCCGGAGCAATGTCCCCTTATGCAGTCGAAGCCTCTTTGGAGTAGCGAGGACGATCCATCTGCGAGCTTGGCTTGCAGAGTCTTCCCTTTTTTCAAGGCGTTTGGCTGACAGCAGGGCGGCTTGGGGTGTCTGGGAGATGCCCAAAGACCTTCTGAGATGATATCGATCCATTCAGATGTCACCATCTGCTCTCTGTGGCCGACGCTGATCTGACGAATTGAGGTGCGAGGAGCCAGCAGGAGGGGCGCGAGGCAACCAACGATGACAGTGCGTGTGGTTGCTTTGTGGTTGTGGCAGCTCTGCAGTCAATCAAACAGTGAGTGGTCTCCGTCCGAGTCTACAGATGTGGACTGCTGCTCGTGACGGCCCTCTCACATCAAGCAAAGCATCATCCGCTGCCTCAGCTGCTTCCGGTAAGGGTGACGCTGCAACAGGGAGACTCACGCAGACACATAGGCTTGTGCGTGTGTGTATCGTGCTTCAGGTGCCAGCAACGCGTCGTGTGCGAACCAACAGCAGCAGCAGCATGATCGCCTTCTCAGTGCCTCTGACGTGCCTGAGGAGGCAGCGGTCATCATCGCCGAGTACGTTAGGAGCTATTCGCAGCTGGCGGCCCTCATCGACGCCCACCCCACCCTCCGCACCTCCGCCCTCCTGCTGCCCATTCTTATCCGACTGCTGCCCGCCGTGGTGGAGGGCAGCTTCGGTGCTCTGGTGGAGATGCCCATCCCTCAGCTGGCCCTGGACATGGCTGCTGCCACGGTGGCCCCCAGTCATCGCAACGCCCTCAGCCGATTTCTCCTGCCCATCCTTCTGCGTGTATTGGGCGTGCTGCTGCCCATTGCCGGCCTCGGCTCATTCCTGATGTGGGTCATCCCCCGGCTGCCGCTACCTGCAGCACTCAGCCACGGCTGCCGCATGGCAGTCGCCATCGAGCAGCTGACACGCCGGCTGAAGATGCTGGAGCGTGGCGGCGATTGGGCGAGGTGGCGGCCCCATTTGGAGATGCTCTATCACATACGCGGCAAGCGGCCAGTGGTGCTGGGCGATGGGCATTTCGAGGTGTTCGGCAGCCAGACGGGCCGGGGCTTCATCGGCGAGACCGAGGCGGTCCGGCAATGGAAGATACTCAGCCGGGGCCTGACTGTCCACTATGAAGGCCAGTAAAGACAGCTGATGGACGGCGACAAGCTTCTTGACTTGGGCTACTGTCTCCCCGCCCTCCTCGCCGCACCCAGCCCCCTTTTCCCTCACGACACATTCAACGCCGCCGACCCGCCCACAGAGCTGGGTTGCTGGACGTACCGCACTTACGTGGGCAGCGTGCACGCCAACTACACGTCAATGGCGGCATTCGTCCTCTTCCACTGGCTTTACGAAACGTATCCAATCGACTTAAAGTATGCTAGATTCTGGTCGTCTCACGATCGTGATTCTGCTGCGTTCCGGCGAATGACTGATCTGATGGCGGCCCCTCCCAGCGATGCGGCACAGTGGGGGCCGGGGGTGGCGGTGTTCGACAGCAAAAGGCCGCCCCTCGGAAGAAAGTGGCCACCCCTCGGAAGGGTACAGCATAATCGGCTGGTGGTGCTGGGGAGTGAGGCGATGGGCGATGGGCTCATGGCACTCGTCCGGCTGACGGATTCGGGGCGTCACTCAGTGGATGTGGATATCTTCACGAACGAGCCAGCGGTCGTAGACGACCAGGGTGGCTGTGTTTCCATCTGGACCGACTCCCCCCGTATACCCTATACCAGCACGCGCAGGGCCGTGATGAGTGTGTTGGGGGATCACTTGGGGGGCAAGGTGTGGCGGAAGGAGCAGGAGAGGTGAATTGGGGGCAGGACAGATGGGGTGGATGATGGTGGGTGGGTGTCTGTGTGTCGATTGTCGTTTTAGTACAGGATACAGGAGGGGGACAGACAGACAGACAGACAACAGGTTTCCCTCTGTCTGCCTGCTGGCTGAGTGTGTGGCGCCTTGATATGCGTCCCATTAACTGCACGTTGCGAATGGGCTGTATGGAGTGTGTGAACTAACGCTGTGCGTGGTGACGCACGGCATAACTTGTGTCCGTGCGGATGTGATGTGCAGACCTTCTTCTATGAACACTGTTTCATGTGGAGGCTGTGTGACTGTTTCGTGGAGGCTCATGCTTGTATGGCTGGTGAAACGAAGCGACTTGTGTCAAGCCATTAAGTCATTGACAAAAGCGATGCCACATACAGTCACTGAGTCTGACAAAAAAGCAATCGCGACCTTCACCCATTCATTCTCAGTCACGTCAGCCATTTAAAGGC